AGAACGACATAGTAAAGTCAGTAGAAAAAGGAGGAATAAATGTTATTGATTTTGAAGTAATGGATGCTGTAATAAAATTAAAATGGCTGTAGAATTTTATTAAAAATAAAACAAGTTTATGGTTTAATTTCCCTTCACAACTTTTTAAAAAAATTGGAGGAATAAAATTTCTCTTAAGATGTAACTTTGATCCTGTAAAAATTACGGATTAAATTATCAGAATACCACACACAAGTTCTAAAGTATTGGAAAATGTTATAAAAGCACAATTTTACGCCACATAAGATTATTTGGAGAAAATCTCTATACTACAGAGAATAGGAGGGAAAAGGTATCTGGGCCCTTGTACATCTTATGGACACAAAGGGTGATATTCTGGATTATACAGTATTTAAAAGTAAAATATAATTTAGATTGTCCATGGAAGCAATTTCTATCTTTTATTAGGGCAATTCTGGCAACCATGATTAATTTGGTCAAAGGAATGGTTCAATATTCTGATGTAAAACCGATCTTTCTCACCATTCTTATAGATAATTACGATTCTACGGATCTCAAATTTAATAACAAAATGATAAGAGAACATAAACAATACAATTTTTCCTCTCCCAGTTAAAAGGAACTTATTTTTAAACGTGTTTTCAGAGATGGAAGTTCTTAAGGTTAGAACCAGATTTTTCTCATTTCCTATATTACCAAAGATGAAAGAAGTTCATTTTCAAACTATAAATCATATATATCCCTGTGCAGAGCTCTTAAGTTTAAGATTTAAATCAAATGTTAATGTATGTAACTTTTGTCAGAAAGATCTGGAAACACAAGAACATATTTTTTACAATTGTGTGGTTAAGTCTTTATGGGAGAAGATTTATGATTGGTTATCAACGAAAAATGTGATTCCTAATTTTGAATATAAAGGAGTTAAATTTGTTATTACTTGTCATGATAAAAATGTAGAATTTTTATGTAATATTATTTTCATTATGGGAAAATTCTTTATCCACAAGTGCAGATTCTTTAAAGTTTCTCCAAATTTTCAAGCATTCCAAAATGATAATAAAAGTTTTCATGCCTCGATTAAGTTACTGGAGAACAACAAGGCCTTAAAGTTTTCAGACTTGATAGCAATGTACTTTAGTTAATTTTTAATTTAATTTTCTTTCTCATTCTTTTATATTGTTTTTGTTTTTCTGAAAGAAAACTGTTATGGATGGCATATGTTCAGTTGTACGTTTCTGCTTTTCTGAAAGAGTTTTTTGGATTTATGAAAATGAAATATATATAAAAAGGTCACAAAAAAAAAAACAAAACAAACAAAAAAAAAGCATGTCAACATTTCAGCCCACATTCAGCGCAGGTTCGCTGGAATTTGGCAGCATGTGTAACGGCAAACTAGTGCCGGAGGAAACACTGGCCCTCGAACATTAGTTCCGCTCAGTTGGACGTCATGTCGTTGAACTCCTGCCCTGTCAGGCGATCATGCGCTTGTTAATATTTAGCTCCTGGCCGTTCGGCCACGCAGGTCGCTCCCTGAGCGCAGGCAGCATGGCGGCGCTGAGAG